TGACAAGACACACACAATGGTGGCCTCCAAATGCTGCTAAGCGAGATAACAGCCCACTCCACCCCACGAGCCGATACTGATATCTAAGACAGTCTGGCCAGTCTACGAGGGTAATAAGATTGTAATTGTACCAAATCCAATTTACGGATATTTTCCGTTACTTACCTGAATATCCAGCAGCCGGTTTAGATCAGCTAGCTTGTTGGACTGTGCAGCATCAATGGTCGTTGCTTGTGCAGTCCAGAGACCAAATCCCTGGTGAAAATATCGATCCATGTATGACTGTCGAAATTCTGGACAAAGATCAAATTGCTCCGACACTGCACCAACCACAAGACCCATTGACGATGGGGGATAATTGAATAGCCTCGCTGCTAGCGCTACAAAGCGAGCACTCCAGGATCGGTACATTTCCTGTCTACCTTCCATTGGTATGGTGAGCAAGCTGGAGATCACATCGTCAAGTGTCCGAGTAGAGTTGGTAGCCCAGAGACAACCAACATATGACTCGCCAATCGCTACAAGTCCTTCGCTCATCCAATCCAGCCAAAAAGAATCGTCCCGAACATCAAAATCCTACAGGTTAGTTAGCATTAGCTAAAACGTTGCGAGGTGCAAGGAATTCTCCTACCCTATTCGATCTTATACCGCCGCTAGATAATAGACGACACATAATTATCTTTGCATTTTGTCGCAATTTTGGCAGCGAAAGCGATCGAATTAGCTGAAGACAAAACAGAATTGTCCCTGCGATTGCCGTCGCAACATATATCCAAAACGATCTCTGTTTTCACCAACATTGCCATCAACAACCGAGGCAGCACGTTTGATATTAGAAACTTAAATGTTAAACGCATGTTCAGACCTAGGAAAAAACTATGGTACTAAGTGGCCTGAGTAAAAGATACAGCTCAATTTACTACCTGGTGAGCTAGTACGCAAAAGAGCGGAACGAGCATGTTAAGCATGAGCTCCATCTTGTAAGCTGCGTTCCAAAAATGTTGGGAGCGAGGCGGTGAGAAACGATATACATGATCGGCCTTGGGAAAAACGCCACCACCCACCACACAGTGGCTCCACAAGCGAGACGATCTGATAATACAACAATTCAATGACAGCTTATCAGTCCAAGACTTCACATTTTGCTTGCATCGAGATCCTACATTAGAGCTGGGACACTCATCCATACGCGAACAAGCGGTAAGTAGCAAGTTACCAGCAGCAATGGCACAAATAAGTGCAGCACAAAGTCGCCCACACGAGCTAAGATACCTAAAAAAGGGGAGCTGGCCCAGACTCCCAGCCAGCCGTTAAGAATAGCAGTAAATGCGTAGCGATCAAAGACACGCAATGAATACCATCCAACCATAACGGTGATACCCATGGATGTAGCGATGCCTAGCGCTGCCTTCGATGCGAGCAAGTGTGCGAACATTGTGAAAACAAACCAACAGTTCGTGTACATTGTGCGGATGCCCACAAGTGGCGGTAGTACTACGATAGCAAAGAGTAGTGCGACGGCCACAGCATCATCAAGGTGAGAATCTAACGTAGGGCTGTCGTGACTGGCTCGGCCTAAAGTTTCCCATCTTGGTAGTATGTCCATTTTGCAGATGATTAAGAAATGTCTACCTATCAACCTATCAAAGCAAAAACTATTTGAGAACTAGCGTCATCGATCAAAGCAAATATTTGACTTTGAACTAGCGTCATCGAGTAAGGAAAAGATTCAAGTGACGAAAATATTTCATTTTGCCCTATCAAAAAAACGAAAATCTGCCGTCTTACATAATTTCTATTTCTAGATTTGAGTATAACTAATAGTAGAGGCCTTATTATTTGGTCAACAATTAATTTAAGTGTTGATATTTTCAGTTATGGAGCTTTCGGATAAAGGAGAGATATTGCAACTTGAGGTGAACGATGTTGACGACGAAGAGGAGGTGGATATATTCTTAGTCAATTCAGCAGCTTCAGTGAGTATCTCCTCGCCTTCTAGCGATCGGTCGTCGCCGGCTCCGCGTCGCTGCGTATCGAAAGAGATGCTCGAGCAGATGCCGACACTTAATATTAGCGTACGCATTTTAAAATCATGCATGGAATAAATTAGAATGGTGTCTAATTACTTCGATTTAAGATAGACCCACTATCATGAAGTGATTGTTGGCAAACCTTTCGGGTGTTTTCACTTGATGCAACTTATCGAGAAATCTATCCAGGTTGGAGCTCTCTTTTCGCCCAAATTGTTTGTACCCAAAGAAATATGGCAGCAAGACAAAGTGAAGCTAGCAGGTGTTCCCCTAAAGTTAGAGGTGTTTCACCAGCTTAAGCAAGGGCTTGAAAAGACCAGTGTAGGTGCCGCAGATTGTCTATTTCTAAAAAGAAGATGAAACAGCTTATAGGTTGGTGTATACATTGTTGTAGCATGCACTACCGCTATCATCTGATGCAGCAAAAGCTGCGTTTGTCAAAGAACTAGATATACTCTTGGAGTTTGCAAGACAGGAGAGGGTCCACTTGATCCGTTCATTCCCGTATTTGCCACAGAATAAGAACTCTCCGATTTCTCAATCAACGCGTGGAGCAAGTAGCAACGGAGTGAGAAGGCGACTAGAGACGAGATGTGCTGTAGAGGTGCTAATTACGTTGGGTTTTCATTCATATAGGTGGAAGAAGAATTAGTAGAGGCTCAATCCTCTGGTCTCAACATCGGCAAGTTGACAAATTTAGCTTTTGGATTCGGCCGTATGGTAAAGAAGCAGGCAATTGCTGCTGTGGAACGAGTTGGTGCCGCTCCAACTCTCATGCTGTACGTATTCTAGAAATCTTTCGATTTATGAAAGATTAAGCGGCTGTATCCCTTGGTTTCTTGTTTGACAGATCCATTGATGAGCTGGACGAATATGCGGCTGTGCTCTGTATGTTCTTTAACTCTACGCGTAACATTGGTAAGGAAATAACGTTACATTTAAATCGTTATTATTAATAACTGTTTGTGCTGATTTACAAAGAGAATTTGTTGGGACTACGTGCAGATGCTGACGGTGCTCAAAAACAAGTTAACGACCCAAAGTCTGACACGAAGCGTGCTCAACTGGATTCTGCTACTTTAAGAAAACTGGAAGAACTGGGTAAGCTTCTGTGATTACACTTTTTAATAATGCTTAAACTAATTCTAGCTCTTGAGCAGCAATTTTTCTGAATGAGGTTGTGATCGAGCTTGTCATGCGTGATCTTCACAGTCTATTGGACTTGTACATGCGACGACTAACGCATCAATTTGGTGAGTTTACAGTTGATCAGGCGGTACTTAAACGCCGTCCATCTGTGTCAGTGACGCATGGATAGATACTCGCCACTGTCTTGATATCTCTCTGCTTATCGTGCACACCTCTAAGCGGTCCAATTGAAGGCGTTAAACGTCGTGGGGTTGCTTGATGGTAGAGTTTATAAGACAATATCCCATTTTTTTTAGCTGGACAAATCGCAACTAAATGTAGTTTAGATCAACTCATTGCAGTAATTTTAAAGGTCACAATGCGGATGAGCGTTGATCACTTCGATAGTTGTTCTTCAGACGTAGAGTAAGCACAGGAGTACTAGCACAGGAGTATTTTGGTGATATACCGTGTTTGAAGTTCCACAGTAAAGTATCCTACTGAAGCCATGATTAGTAAAGGAGAGTGATGGTATTTCGATAAAGGGAAGTCGGTCAGATATTTTGGATGCTCATTTCTCGCATGATTTTAAAAGGCAGGCAATTCTCTTCGTACATTAACGATGACTAGATGTCTGGTCATCAACGTCAGACCCCGGGGTCGCACGAAATTTGTCACGGTGGGGGCATCACATGAGGTTGTTCTTTAACTCTTGTAAGCAGAATGCCAACTCGCACTGATCTACCTCATCCGTGTGCTATCGCTTTAGAAAGTTCTACAGTTTGTGAACGTAGGCAATTCTCTAAGCACTTATTCAGGCTCCCCTGTCCAATGACAGATAAATTTCTACCACCAAGCATGAGCTCATGCGCAGTCCCAGAAGATGTGCTCCATAATCTTCTTGGTATCGCGACAGCATTCGAACTATTGGGCAATGTTTTCGACTAGACGTGTCGAATGATGTAGGTTAAATGTCTGAATGCTGCTGGATAGCAGACCCGAACATGGCACCCCGTTAATCCGTTCTGTTGATTCCATTACTCCTTGATATCTTAATTTAGGGCCGTTAATTGCCAGCTTTGCCGCGTGTTGTGGCTTATCCTCTGTTTCAGCAAGGATTCTCCTTCACTTCGGTACTTCGTTAAAAACAGCTTTCTTGATTTCCTTAAAGACATGCCTGTTAGCTACTGACCGTGGTATTGTCCGCAAAGGAGCATGAAGGCTGGGATAAGCCATGAATATACTCTTCTTAACCTCGTTGCTGTAGCGTCTTCATATCTTTCTTGGGCTCCGAAGTGTGCATCGCCGAGTCGTGCAACTGTCAATGACGTTGCTGAATCAGCTCGATTGGAACTTGCTGTTTGTCGGTCGCTCTACCGTTATCTCCACTACTTCCCGCTTATATTTATTAACGGTGGTACCTCATATCCTATTCGTAGTGTCTGCTGATGCTTAGTTGTGGAATACTTCTGAACACCCCGATGCTACACTGCCAAAGCTTCGCTTGTATTTGTCTACCATCTGCGCTAACGTCATGCTGAAATTGACTCTCCCGCTTGCGTGGCTCTCTGTGGTAATACTCATTGCCGTTGCTGCTCGGCTGCGTTTTCTCTTTATGAGCTACTTGTTCTTCATCGTCGTGGCATACGTCTTTGTCAGCCCTGCAAGCTCTGGCGATCTCTGACTTTTTGTGGTCGTAGTCGTTAGTTGAGTTCAGCTCATGATTCTCTATTTCTTCCTCTGACTGTTGCGTTTCTGGTACTATGGAGTCTTGGCTTAGCCCTACATCCTCTCGATCTTTCGAATACCGACAGCTGGTACTGGTCTGCCGGAGCATTGCTGGGTCTACTGCTGATTTGAAAGTGACAACGATATAAAAGTGAACGTTATACGATTATGATGCCTTTAACTAGCTTTATACTTGAATGAAAATAATTGATTTGGTCAATGGGCACTTAATAGGGTCAGGGTAAAGCGTCCTAGATTCGATGAACTATAATCTGTTGATTAATTTATGCTGACTCGATGGGTCATGTATAAAAGAAATGTGGCAACGTCGCCGAGATCAATAATATTTGTCTTCAACACGACGACACGATCTCAATAAAGTGTAGGAATTGCTAGTGCTTACAACGATTTTTGGATAGGAAGTTTCAGCGAGTTTCCTCAGCCACGCGATGATCGCTTCGGGACTTAGAGCTAGTTGCGCTATACTCTTGATACCAAGTCAGTAATTAAAGGTATTTTTCACGCCGGTGGCATTCCGCACATTCACAATTTGAGAAAGTGTTAAGTACTGGGTATTACAAAGGTTCCGAGGGATGGCATTTGAGCACATCGTATGTGTATGTCAAAGTTTTTATGTAAAAATTTCGGCAACATCGTTGCATGAGGCATTAGCTACATGGCGAACATGACAATTCTCAGCTGTCGCCGCAATCCAGGACTTCGACCTCCACCGCAATTTCAGGACTTCGACCCCCACCGCTCTTAACCTCATATACTTTTTTGCCTGAAAAGGTACAATGTTTGTTGTTTCTGAGCACATAATCGCCTTTGCTCTTGTCATGTGAATGAACATTGATACAATCAGTAAGAGATGAGGCTGAATCACGGAACCCCATTAATATTAAAGGCCAGACGGAAAGCATAGGGTAAAAGAAATCAGCTGGCAACTGTCAAGGCATCCATTTTCAACTCGATATAAGTTGTAAAACTAAGATTTCGAAAAAGTACGACGCGAGCTACTTAATAAATCTCTTTGCTTCATCTTCGAGTCAATGATCAGACAGCAAACGCAATTTCGAAAAATGGTGGTAACCTCGCCTCTTGGCCACAAATCGATCCGATGGTAATCGTAGCCAGATAATCAGTATATTGCTGTCTAATTACAGTGTTGAAGGGAATTAAATCAATGATGGTAGACATCCATTACCTAATGTTTCGACTCGATAAAGCAGCAAACGACAAATTCGTGAAAACCTGTTTTACAGACAAGCACGCACAATGTTGGAATTGCACAGTTGTAAACCATCTCAATCTTCTGGACTGTCAGCCAAAAGGTGTTGGGACGCGGTGGATCGAAGAGATAGATCTCATTGCCAGTCAAACAAAGATTTCCACCAGCAACCAGCTTGATCCAAAATTGAGAGAATCTGTTTAGCATGCACAAAGCATACTCAGAGATACGAAGTCAATAAAATTCGCTTGACGTACAGCAAGATAGGAGCAGTCATCCAAACCCGCACTAGCGGTAAGTAGCAGAATGCAAATATGACTGGCACACCCAAATGTAGAACAAGGTCCACGATATTCGCAAGCATTTGGAGGAGCCAGTACTTACTTAGAAAGCCAAACCAACCCTGCAAGATACCTTTGAACGCGGTACAGTCGAATGCACGCAGCGTGTACCAGCCCATCATTATCGTAAGTCCAAGTGATGTGGCCATGCCAATCGCTGCCTCCGACTGGATTATGTGAGCCAGAACCGCAAAGATTACCCAGCAAAAGGTATAAAGGATCCGCACACGTACTAGCACTGGGAGAAGGGCCATGACAAACAGTAGCATTACGGCTTGCATGGCATCTAAACTCAGCAGCAGTACATCAGCTGTGTGCATCTCGTCCTCACGCACTCGCAACACTGTGCTTGTCAGCGTATCTTGTGCTGCGCTGAAAATCTCGAAGGTGTTCATAATGCTTCTACGCACAAGTACGAGCAAGTCGATAACTAATGACCTTGCATTGGTTGATGGTCCGTTATGATGATCCGAGTTCAGAACGCGCTTACCTTACAGTATTGTAGCAAGTTGGCATGTTTGAATTCTAGGATTTGGAGATACAGTACAACGCAAAAAGAGAGAATTTAACTTGAGTCGGCTATTTTGTATTGTAGCAGGAGTGGTTTGAGTTTCAGCAACAAGATTGCTGTAAAAATGTGAATTAATTGAACACATGCGTACGTTGCGATGGAGCTTGGTTACTGTATCGGTTACATATTTCGTTTCGTTACGAGACAATGGCACTGACTTTATGCAATCGATTATATGTTAAAATCCATTAATAGCAGCTTTGAATTAAGATGAATTATTTTAAAATATGTTTTAGGACGTGTAATCCATCCCCATCACTAACTTACGGCTATAAAGAATGACGTTCCGTGACCAATTGGTCTTGCCCAAGTGAGCTTTGTACCGAAATCGGCCTGGTGCGAGCAAAAACGCATCAATTTGTTCTATAACATCCATGCGCACGTTGAGTTTGCGAAAAGAATGGGGCACGTCAACTCGCATGCGGATCAATCGTTTTTGAGCGTTGCTGTTATCAAACCACAATAAGCATTTTTTTATCGAAAGCATGGCTTGTCATTCTAATTCACTTACCGGTAGCACTTCCACGTCTGGGGTTCAATAATCAAATGCTCGGTCATGTCAGATATCGTCTCCAGGAATTTCCATAGTCCTTCATCGCCATGATTTAGATGGATCCACATTGTCAGGCTGAAGCAAGTAACGAGATTGAATTTCCGCTCTGCTGTCGAACGCTGATTCAGCGCCGTGAACGCAGCGATGGTTTTGCAAAATTTGTTTGTCATAATGTCAACGTGGCAAAAATGAACTGTATCTCCCTTAGTTAGCTGCACGTTTTTTTTTGCAGCGCGATTGATTAAGTCTTCATCTATATCCACACCAAGAACCAAAAGGACTTTCCTCGTTGCGAGCTCTTCATCTGTCAATGGAAGCGCAATTCCATGATATGACGTCTCCCCATTCTGTACCTCTGGTTTCTGATCATTCGAGTTTAACAATAATCGCAAAGCAGCTCCAGCAGCCTTAGCCTTAGCAACCTTTTTTGACACGCCTTCACCTCGGCCCATTAGTTTGCTGTCAATTTGTAGCTCGCAAACGTAGCGTCGGCGGTGGCATGAGTCACCCATGTCCAGGATCGAATACTCCACCTGCTTTTTTTCTTTCTGGATGCGGTCGTTAAGTATGCTGATATTACGGAGGTCGAATTCAGCCACATTGTCAATCTGATTGGAATTATAGACTTCGGCACGTCCGTTCAAGGCGTCATAGAGAGCGATAGTCAGATCGCCTTCATTACAGCCTACGTCCAGCACAGTTGATGTAACTTCGCTTTTGGCCATCGAAGGATCATTCACAAGAAGTTCTCGTCGCAGTGCATTGATTATATTTGTGTTCATGAATCGCAGTCGCTCACGCACTGGATTAAAGCTATAGTACGCATGGAAGTTGCCCAGCACGTGTCCTGTGGCGTTTGAAGCCATTTTGATCGATTGGCATCCCCGTGATAATAATTGGTAGATCAGGGAATCGGTCGCATTTTTATTACCAATAAAACGTCCCAACCAGTTGAAAGTATGCTGGAGCAAAGAGTGTTGCGCAATTTGGCGCGTTTGAATTTGAGGCGCTACGCAGCCTCAGTCTCACGAGGTAGAAATAACAATGAAAGCAATTTTTCTCGATACGCGGGCATGGCGTTTTTCAGTGCTGTTGTGCGTTTAAGCTTTGAAAATTGATCCATGATAAATCTACTTATTTCTATGTGATCTGCAGACGGTGACGACGGCTTACCTCGGCTCGTGGCAGGTGTGAAAATCACTTAAGTTGACGGTGTGGCAACAGCTAGAATAATGCGTATTCTTGCTTCAATGGTATTTAGATTGAACGTTATTACTGGAAAAAGAATCTGATTAACCAACGTGCGAAGGAGCTGTCCGAGTCAGTTGCGGAGCTTCCGAAAGACGCGACTGCAAGCAATGACACGTTGGTCTACTGCTAATTTTTAATCTGTGCTACAATCTAACGGTCTCATTGTGCAGTGACGATATTGAGTATCGTCAGCTGAGTTTGAAGGGTACATTTAAGTCTGGAAGTACCTTTTACCTGTGTACGATAGTAGCCTATATATTGAAATCAATTTTTTATTCATCTAATTTTTGGACGATTTTCAACGCAATAGATCCTCGCTCTGCCCCCGCGGACCAGAGTGATTCGGTGGCAAGCGTGAAATCTGGTGGATACATCTACTCTCTGTTGCAGCGCGAGAATAGGTTAGCGAGCTTTTATCCACCAGAAGTATTTAAAGTAAGTATGAAAGCGTTTGATGCTGCACAGTACTCCGGTGATCGTGAATCGAGGTTGGCTTCCACGCAAACTTCTTGATGAGCATATGATCCGCGACAAGAAAGAGGATGTCGGTGATGTATCATTGATTGGTGTGCTTCGTCATGGCGAGACTGTCAGTACAATATCTTTCACACCGATTGCTGCGACTTGAATAGTAATCTCATAACGTTTTGTAATGCCATAGAAAAACTCTTTTACACCAGACAACGATCCGAAGAATCGACATTTCTTCCATTTGGACCATAAAGAGCTGGCGAGTGCCATGGGCGTGACTTCTGCAGATTTGCCTGTCATTGTTGATGCTCTTGGTGGGTGCATCATCTCTTGTATCACTTTAGTCATTCATTAAATTGTGTGCCTATTGACAGCGGTCGAAGATGAAATTGGAGAAATAACGCTTGATAACTTCGTCCGAAAAAATATTTCCTCTTATCTGGAATTTTACATGACCCCTGAAATGCATGCTGGATACGCCGCAACTTGGTAAGATAGTATGTCGAATTCAAATCAAACAAATTGCCGAGCATCAATACTGACGTCAAGCCTGTAGGTTTGGTTGCAGTATCGCAGCTGCCGTTATGGGAGTTCTGCGTTTCAAAAAGGGCGATGCTCGTGTGAGACAGATGGCAAAGTTCGCACACAATTAAATGATGAACATTTATAATATTAAAACTACTTTGTGTAATATCCTGTTACTTTGTTAACTTTTTCTTGGCAAATTAACAAGCAAAAAATGCAGCACGAGATAGATGACGACGATACTACGATGGAGGACGCAGTGCTGCTGCTGCTCATGATGTTTGTGCTAGTAGTGATTTCATTCGTACTTGATCGATATTCTTGTAATCTAGTATCACAGAGTGGCTTTGCAATGGTCTTTGGCCTCGTCGTGGGGCTCTTTATGATCATGGGTGGCAAGCATGGAGCGCTCCATACACATCTCAACTTAGACAACAGTCTGTTTTTCAACGTGCTGCTACCACCTATTATATACGAAGGAGGCTTTTCTATCAAGCGGCAAGCATTTTTTCGTAATTTTCCAGCTATCATGAGCACGGCTGTCATTGGCACGATTGTAGCAGCAACTATCACGGGTGGTGTTTTGTACCTTGCTGGAGCGTCGAAGATAGTGACAAAATTATCGTGGGTTGAGGCACTTTTGTTCGGAACATTGATCAATGCTGTGGATCCCGTGGCTACATTGTCGTGCTTTAATAAGCTGCACGTCCCACCACTGCTGTTTAATCTTGTGTTTGGAGAAAGCGTAATAAATAATGCCGTCGCAATTGCTCTCTATCAGACGCTACATCAATGGAATGTTGGCACTGATTTAAGCCCAACACAGCTGCTGCGAGTGGTGGTGAATACAAGTGGAATGTTTTTAGGATCGCTACTTGTTAGTGCGGCGATTACTTTATCCGGTGCATTTTTGCTAAAACGAAAGGTCTTTTCGTCATTGCATTTCTATCCAAGTTACGAGATTTCGCTGTGCTTGATTTTTAGCTTGTTAACGTATTACGTGGCCGACAGTCTAAAGATGAGTGGAATCGTTGCGCTGTTCTTTTCCGGAACCATGACTGCTCATTACCATTTTAACGTGCTATCACGGGAAGCGCGCCATGCTTTCACGCATTTGCTCCATACAACTTCTTTCGTTTGTGAGAACATTGTTTATGTATTTATGGGAACGTCGGTAGTCATGATCTTTTCTGGGCATCCTGAGAAACGCTTGGGTGCTGCGCTTCGAGTAGACGATATCGACTGGCACTTCATTAGTATGACACTGGTGGCTTGTGTCACAGCTCGCTTTTTTAATATTTTTCCCCTGTTGACTTTTTCTAATTGCTCACGGGGAACTTCCGATCGTATCCCAATTAAATACATGAGTGTGATGTGGTTTGTTGCTCTTCGTGGATCTATTGCCTTCACACTTGCTAAAAACTGGAATTATGCTGGTCGATATGGATCCCATCGCCACTTAGTCGAATCGACAACACTTATCGTGGTGATGTTTACGACTATCGTTATCGGTGGACTTACGGGACCCCTCATTTCAAAGCTTCATCTTACAAATCACCACAGGGCGTTAAGGCAATCTGAGACGAATACTGAAGGAGAACAAGTTCTAGAGAAAGACCGAGCGCAAAATCTACAACGCAGTACTCGTCACTTTATGCTACGGCGAAATTCTAGGACTTCCGAGCAGCAGCATAAACATAGATCTACAGAGGAAGTTACTACAGTAGAACAAGAGAATGAAGTAGAAAATAATCCTGTGTTTACGTCCCGGCCCCAATTTCGAGACGAAGATTATAGTGACGACGAGCACAACGATGCCTCTCCAGTTCAGCGAGTTGAGACAATGACTGGTGCCTTTATTCGCAACTGGCAGAATTTCGACTCCACATACATGCAACCAGTATTTGGTGGCGAACGATCCCCTGTGAATTTAATGCCAGTTGTCGAAGCAGTTGAATCGCTTGGAGAAGAGACTGAAAAGGCACCTGCATCAAGCGTTGTCTGAACAACTTTATCTCTCTTGGATGTTCGATATAATCAATTATACATGAATATATAAATGAGCTATTTAGACGGTAACGTTGGTAATCATCTCCCCGCCGTTAAAATCAAACGAATTAGTCCATATAATGAACAAAAAAGTGCATCGACACTCCTACAGTTCTTGAGCTATAGAAATGTACAGGATGAGACTTAGTATGCTTGTTTGATACGCATAGTTCGTGTGTGAATGCGTGGGTTAAATGTGCACATGTGTCTCGAGAGTTGTAACGGGTTACGTACCGTAAGGTACTCTATAAACACATTCTCCAACAGTCAAGCTCAAAGTACCAAAGTAAAGTTCAGAACCGAAGTATCATGAGTGGTAAGGGGGATTGGAAAGGTACGTGGAAAACATGGGTTGGCCGCATGAGCAATATTGTTGAGGGGCTTCAAAGCTCGCGAGGCAACAGAGTGAGCCGCAGTATCACGATAAGACGGAATCCAGTTATTGAGTATCATTTGACAATCTAACTCAACAGGAATTAAGGATAGTATGCCGCGGTCTTCAGAGTGTTTATCGTATGACAATTCGGATTGTAGCTGTAAGTCGATGTCACCGATGAGGAATTTTGGTGGAGCACATTTGGGAATTGTGCCGCGAGTTTCAATCGCATAGAGCCGAGCCAAAGCGGTTCGATGTCAAGTTACGGAAATGACGTATCCAGTGTGGATAGATTTGAACAGCAGGTAGCTTTATTTTGATGGCGCTTTGTGGTGCTTACCTTGGGTCATCAGCATACAGCGGTAATGATAACAACGACCTCTTTGGATCCAAATGTATCCGATCAGATCCAGATCCGAGGCACTCATAAAGCTTTCTTCACAGATTTTTATGTCTCCCATTCCACCAAAATCCACTACCATGTTACATTATTTATTAGGAGGTAAGGAGCTCGTACCGTGTCGTCATAATATGCACTTTATCCTATGCAAGAAGTTGGCGAGGCTAAACAACTTACTCTTATCCCTGTAATAGTTGCAATGTATGGATTTGACGTTTGCGGGTCCGCAGATCATCCTTCGTAATGAAGCATCCGGGACAGAGAATTTTGTCAGCGTAAAAGACAAACTTGTGTATGCTGGCAAGCAACGTGTTTGATTGTTTTCACTCAAGCACTGTTTGCTAGTGCTTGATGGGGTGCTCACACCTAGTTGTCGGTGCTCTGCGTGATTAAATACGGATGAAATGTCAAGATAGATAAATGCCTAAATTTTAATATGACGTGATCGAATGAGCAATAAACGGCGGAGCGTAGGCAGTGCATTCAACAGTCTATAAGACTCAACTAGAAAGTTTCGGAGTATCCCACTCGTAGTATCCACAGCTTTAAGGAAGATTTCACCGCCCCTTATATACCATTGGAAATTATTATCAAACAAATCAAGAGCACTGAAGAAGGTGTAGACAACTATGGTATCCTGTTGCGCGTTTGAGTAATGGCTGCATTAACGTACTACAAGTAAGCACAACGCACAGACAATCGGCTCAAAAAAGCTTCTGTTTTTACTTGAATCCTTTGCGCAGAAAAACGTCAACAATGCATCAATACTTCCTTGGTGAGGGAAAATAACGTGTGACTCAATAATTGGTTTCAAGAACCAGGTCAATCCTATTATAACACGAGTAATCGGACTCATCATGATCGCTCCGTCATCCTCAATATGAAATTATGTACGATACTTGAGGTAGTCTTCGAGCCCCTTGCACTAACGAGTGCCGTTGATGAAGTGCTCATCCTAAACGGATGATGAGCGTGGCCTTTATTTCTGTACTGACCGTTATTTGATGAAAACACAGCCTTGCACCCTTTTATAAACATCTGCAAAAGATAATTCTACAAGCCTAATACGAGGTTATGCCGGAAGACATACGCTGTCTCCTCTCCATTCGCAAGTATATGAGCTTTTATACTGCGAAACCATCAAGCATCCTTGCTCTGCACGGTGGGCGTGTCACTGGGATAGTGCAGAAAAAGCAAAATATTTCATCGTGATAAGGATAAGTTATCCTGAAAAATAAGAAGGCTTCACTTATTAACAGCCGCCCGACTCCACTGGCTGTTCCTAGAAAGCCGTGCTTCCTTGCACCTTGCGCAGAGAAAGAATCGCCATATAAAGCGAAAAAACGCGCCGGGGGATTCATATAAAGTGGAATTCTTTTGCCTCTTGCAACGGTGTAATTGTGCGCTTCACACAAGAATTCTTTACTCAGAAGGATAAGTATGTAAAGTATAAAGGTATGTCCGTACACTCCACCCAAAATCTAGACACAGGATCTGATTAGTTTTTTAAACTTGGTTTGCTCTGCCACTTTAAGATGGCATGTATTGAGAATAATTTCATGTTCAGTTAAAAGAATAAATCCACATTTCTTTATATCATATGACAAAAAGATCTTTTTGCGTGATGTGAAGACAACAGCTCCTATGCACCATGGACATCTCATTTCAAAGTCCTCATCATCTTTATAGTTAGTCTTTTCAAATATTATAGTTACACACAATAGAGATGTAAGTTCGTCCGATTTTGCAATACTCGAATTCGCATAGTGGAAAAGAAGTGTACGTGTACGCCTCGCCCCCCCCTCGCAAAATTCTAGACAAATTCTAGTCCACTTTCAAAGCTCAAAGATAAACGCTCAAAGAACATATATTGCAACAGTAGTTTCGCTTCACTCCTTACACACTGCAGTGCCTTCTCATACGAGCATCTTTGCGTAGATATACCTCTCTCATACAAGCAATAAATGTCTCATCGTGTTTTCGAAAAAGGTAATGATTAAATGCCTGACGACTTTAAATTTACAATCGTTGAAGAGCCGAGGTGTAGCCCGACGAGAACGATCGCAGCGACTCTCCAAGTGCTGACTCAGCACATCCGCCCACATGTGTGAAAACATGTGAAACGGTGAAAACGGCGCATTTTCTGCGCCGCATGTCTGTTCCCAGCGGAGAAAGATTGTACGGCACCACTCACGACGTCACCCAGTTAGTCATCTATAAGCTGGATCTAGCTACAAGATTTAGGTATGTCCTTCTGCTAGCACAAGAGCTGCAACGTGTCTTTTATCACCTCGTGCCGCAAAAGTTAAATTATCTGGCAGTGTTTGAGGTGAAGCCCTTACACGCCTACGCATGCGGTATATTTGCTCGCACGTAAGCAAAACGAGCGCTAAAATATAATTTATCGATGCCTTTTGATTTACACGTCACAACTCCGCAGAGGTTCCGTCCGCGTTTGGAAAAGAAAGGGCCGATACATTATTTTATAACTGGGACCTTAATGTGAAGATGAAATTCTCAAGATTTTGGCTTGGAAAAACGGCTGTTATAGGTGCTGACCTATCATCTCAATTACGACAACGTCGGTTCCCACTTGCTAGTAGTATCATGCGGCGCTCCACTCCGTGAAAACACACAAGGTAACGTATGCCAGGTCATAAGCGGTTATGATGCCAGGGCAAAAATGCAGAGGTGGGATCTGAAACTCTTTAATGTCCCAGAAGACAGGAATTTCTTCATCGAGAACTGGTAAAAGTTCTGAACAAACCTCTGACAAATCACTTGCTCGATATGAAGCGGACTCTCGCTCATGTATTATTGCCATTGAACACTATCCTTTCTTCGGCAAGGTTCTATGTGCCCGATCGGTCGTGACAGAGCGTCACCTCCCTCTGAAAGTCTCGGCTTACTACCGGAACTGAGATCTTCAGTTTTTTAATGATTGCTGAGCTACAGCTTTGCACTGCGTGCCTTGATGCACCTCCAGCGGCTCAAAATTGTTTTGCCGCTCTGAAACAGAGGGTAGCTTAGCTACAGGAAGGGGTGGATACGCTGTTTTGTCTGCAATAGAGTACTTCACACTAAACTGGCTCATAAATGCGGATCTCGGTCTAACTCAGCCCACATAGAGCGCTGGATGTGTTTGCACTCTATTTAGGCTACCACAAGTATGACTGAATCCCTTCTTCGCTACGACCATGATCGGCCCGGTGTAGCTTGATGTGAAACTAGTATTATAGACCTCAGACACTGCATGTATTGATTATGTATCAAATATTCCGCAGCAGACCCATCGGTATGTCGCCTGCCTTTGACATTGGCGTGTTCTTGTTACCCGGGCAAAGTATACACACTTTGCTGAATACGCTCGATCTCATTTAGATATAATCACTAATTTTGCTGCGAATTTTAGAAGGAATGATATCAGCGAGTCGTATCATATCAGTAGTATCCCCATACCAGGACTGGAGACGATTTAGGATGTTGTTTGCGGAACATGGGAGTGAGGTAAAAACATCTATAACTGAGCTAAACCTTTCGAGGCATGCATCGTGTTACTAAACGCAAAGTCAACAATTGAGTGCAACTATCTCGCGCATATTGGGCTCGTTCAAGGATATCTTCTACCACGCGATTAATTCATCCTGTCCTACCCTCTGTCTGCGGATGGTCAGTGATTGACGATGCAATGTACCTTGAAAAATGTTTGCCAACACTTCGCTGTGAAAATGGATCGCCACCCTAGATAATGGCTTCCGTAAAACTAGGTGTCAAAACTTTTGCTATCTGTAACAGTGCTTTATCGGTAACAGTATCGTTGACGGCAGCTAAATGAATTAGTCTGTTTATACTGATCACAAAGACCATATACTGAATTTACAGTCTGAAAAGTAAATAATCAATAACATACATAATGACTGCCGAACCTTGCCGAAACATAGAAGCTGGCCAAGGGCTCGACGCAAGCGGAGATGTTTCAGTTCGTTGACACCTTCCCACATAAGGATATACGTGTCTACCCACTAATTCACACTAGACCAGCAGTCCTTGCTAATTACTGAGCTGTGTTTTTTTTCGAGGTGGACACCCTGAGGAAATCGTGTGCCTTCCACACTTCATGAGTTACAACCACACCTAAACTGTCAAGTGGGTCAGCGCAATAGCACAGCAAGCTTAAGATAAGGATACGATTGCGAAAATGTTATCGTACTCAGTGATAAAGCGGCATATGAATCTCTAAAATATTCGCTTTTCAGCGCTTCCAGCAGTGCAAAAAATGTTGTATTCGGCCCATATGTTATAAATATAGCCTTATGAACTGTCGATGTCATCGTTTTGACATTCATCAGTTAGTCGTCGGGGCGACGTACAAGCACGTCCGCCACCACATTAAGTCGACCGGGATAATCTGTCCTCAAAGGTGGAATCTGCAAAAAAGGGTGTTCATCTTGCTATTGTTTGTGTTGAGTCACTACTCGATCTTTCATTCAACAGAAGAGTCAGAAAGACGCTAAGGTGTCACCACCACGTTGGTCGTGAGATTCGTGATGAGGTTCAATATCACGGTAGCGTAGTTACACTGGATGACTGAACTCGTCGATAAGCTCTTCACAGTAATCGTCATTTTCCCATGCTGGATATTTGTAGCCTAGTTTTGGCTCAACGAGCGAAAGCGCCGTTTGACGTAGAATTGGAGCGTCATCCAAATTCGATGATGCGAGGGCGCTTCGCATCCTCGGATTGAGGTGTGGTTTTGCTCTTCGCTTTTTGACGGTACAAGTCGGCCTTGAAGCGTTTCATTTCGTGTGAGATCATACGTGACCGATTAGAAAAGCTGAAAAAATGTTGGAAGAAATGTCTGATGAGAGTTTGAAGAAATTATGGATAAACCCACTCTTGAGCGGTGGGTAGGTGGTGTCAGGGATCGGCCCCATTACACATGTCGGTGGGCCACATGATTTTTTATGTGGTGAGCAAAAGTATATATCTTGCATAGTTGTTTATTCCTTAATTCTTTTTTATTCAGAATTGAATGCATTATTAGTGCAGAGGAGATTTAGGGCCAATCTGCCATAATAAATGTCATTTCACTTGTTCTATTTCGTTCGCGGTAATTGACGGCTTCCTGGAAGCGAGCAACCAGCTATAAAGCGTGTTAACCGATATATGTAATAACCCTGTTTGTTGGGATTTACCACGATATGATCATAAGCATCTTACCAGGCGTGGCGACCCCAGAAGAAGAAAAACAAATATGAGAATTGTTTTTCCTCTTACGAGGGCACCACGCCTGGCTTTGGAGCCAAACGCCTCATTGTAGATTGGTCAGTATCTCTGTTCCGAAGACAATTGTTAACGTGGCTTGGCCCGGTCTATTCTTTTAGAAAATAGGGCTAATTACGTCGATATGTGGAGAAAAACACGGTTAATTGGCAAAGCCGGGTGCGTCACGAGTGCTACCTAACCTCAAAATGATCAGAATCGGGGTACGCGTGAGCCCTTCTTTTTCCACCCCACTTGAAGTCATTTTTATGAAGATTAATGAGGGGTCGTGTAGCGGATGTATATGAATATGAGCGCATATTTTATTCAGAATCTTTCAAGCTTAAAACAGCAGACAAATACTACTATGTTCATGATATAGAGTTACTTGCAATGAAGCATTATATTGAAAGGTTAGACTGCAATTGCTAGGGTCTGAATCATTTGCGATGAATAAAAAAGTGCGTCGGTGCATGCAACGCCGCCGTCACCCTCTCGAACCGCTATCGTGCCTATTACACGTGCTGGAAAAGACCTACGAAGTCTCATATACATACCAAAGATCCAGCAATTCCATCTATTCTCAATCCCGATAATCAACACTCAGTTCTGGTCTTGGGTTGGGTTTTCTCCGATGAGAACTGTCCCATAAACTCTCCGAGTCCGGACCAAAATTCTCTGCCTTCACCCGACAAGACACAGCTTGGTTATTTTTTTAAGAAGGAGGCTCTCTTTTCGCCTAGCTTCCCTGCTGTACGAGTCTCAAGCTCCGTGATGGTCGACGCCTAGCGTCTTGCATATAACATACGGCTTCGCCGTCCCCTATCTATAGAAATTATTCGCCTCATCGAGACCAGTAAAAAACACGCGCTCGGCATCATCCAGTGTCCCCACTCTCAGCTCTATCGGAGCCTTGATGCTATTAACAACATCCGACGAAGAGCTGCTGTTTCCGCAGTCTTCGTCCAGGAGGATAAGGTGCCACTCCACGTGCATCACAAGCGCCTCGCCCTTGATGCCTCGGACCTCGTCCGACCATGCCATTCTTGGCATGAAGCAACTGCTTCATAACGTGAGCAGCGTTCAGTGGGTTTCGTGCCACTCCACGTTCAGCCCACGAGCCACGCTCGGGACTCTTGTCCAATACAGCACCTTGACCGTTCCGGCCCAGTGCCCGCGCCAGTAGAGCTTTGCTTCTTTGCGGCGGTGGGTTCATGACTCACCAATGCTCCACTAAGAGACGTGCGCGTAGCGCCGAAGATCTTTGTCCTCCAATTATTTTATGGCTCATGGTGTTCCAATCATTTATACCAAGGATAAGGTCATACCTTGCATCCAAGTCTAAGACTAGACAGCGTTCCACGCTATTGAAGTCAGGAAACATGACACCGAGGTCCACAAGGACCCTCAGCACAGTGACACAAGTCCCCGTCGCTAAGCGAACAGTGGCGGTGTTGCTTAGCCGCGCTTCCAGCGCCTCAGCATACAGCTGACTTCCTTCGATCGTAGAGCGTCGCGACGCTTCGGAATCGAAAGGATCTTCAAATACTTCTCAAAGCTCTTCACGTCCGCTTTTATGAGCAGCAAGCACGTTAGGGCAAGAAAAAAATTGTGGACATTGTCTAAGAGTTAAAAACAGGCCGCGAGAACACTTGAGAAGATGATGTTTCAGCTCTTTCCGGAAGGAAAACACCTCTTCAGCCGAAGCACCGCACGTTAGTGCCCTTTCGTAATCTCGCCCCTAGCTTGGTGAAAGCTAGTGTCACATGCTGTTGCTCGTACTGGAGCATGGCGGATGCCATAGCCATCTCGGCCTTGCTTACCCAGAGCAGGAGATTCTCTTCATCCTTACCCTCAAAGGTCTTAACTCTCACCATGAGCGGCCTGGGTCGGGAGGAGTCATCATATATCGACAATGGCGGTTATGGTCGCAGTCGGCGCTGACAGCTTCTGATGAAGGTGCTCAAATAGAGCATTTTTTAAGTTTGAAAACGCCTCTCGGCGCCCGCTTTTCGCATCGGGACCTTCGAAACAAGGTGTTCTACGCTCTCAGGGCCCAGCAAGAACATCAGCTTACTTAGCCCGTCCTGCATGCCCTGGGGCAATAGGAATATTCTTCCTTCCTACACAGAGGATCATTCGTAATGACTTAGTGTAGATTGACTACGAGTGCTACTAAGTGCAGCGGGGATGCCGTAGCTCTTTGCTCAGATGAAGCTAAGCTAAGGTCACCGACCTTACGTTCTATTCAAGAGTCAGTATGAGTGCAGCGTAGCCGCAATCCGCTGCTTCCAAGAGTACTGAAAATCTTAACCAAGGTAGCGACGCTCTTCCGCTCAGAAGCAAAACTGTATTTATTTGTTTTACTTGCGGCAGAGCTGCCAATATCTAAAGCCTTAGGGGGCTCCTAATTAATAAAGTAATACCTCATTAGTATCGTAAAACCTTATTAATATGCATTACTACTGGCAGTCCTGCCATGTAAAGACTTCGTGTTATTCGAGAACACCACCTTTGATGAGCCGCCATATCATACAAGGATACGTGTAATCCCGTTACAGGTCATCTAAACGAAAATCATGCCCGTCCAAAGCAAGCGTACTTTTCGATTTCATATTATGCAAAGGGTTCCATGACTTTACTTGAAGGTGAAGCAGGTCAGTTACAACCTCAAAACCTGGCTTTTTGCATAATTTCCGCTCTACGAAGTCTCTTCATTGGTTGCAGTGATATTTCTAGTTCATGTCTAATGGCTAAGTTTGCACTGACCCGCCGTGAACCATGTGTCGCGTGCGTGTTTCGATGCGACAGCTCTTTCGCTTACACATTTAGCTTGGCTGGCTCAAAAAATGTTTTTTGTTACAACAAATAAAGCCGACGGATGGCTGCTATTAAATCGGGCGTTGTTTTTGAAACACGATCATTGTGGCCTCTAGGGGCATATTAAGAACCTTAAAATTACACTGCAGTGAGATGAGCCTCCACAGAGTTGGTAATTTTTACCGCCTCCGAAAGAGGATCTACTACACTAGCGGCATTATGATTTGCATTACGAACAACAGCTTAGACTACGAGCTCACTTTTCCCTAGACTGCACCAATATGCAGCCCACGGTACGTCCAAATGCCGTATAAATGTCATCATACGGCTTTGTTGTGTTCAGTTAAGCCAGGAATAGCGCACGTTGTGCGCAGTCTAACATATTTTGGCGAGAAAGAGTCAAGCTACTTTAATTTTTTTTTAAGTAGTCGAACGAACGTTTCTTACGCTGTAGGATTTCAGTACCTGCTGATGTGCTTAAATTATCATTATCTTATCTCAAGTAACTAAAACGATGTGGTGTCCTTGTCATGAGAATTTCGACTCAGCAACAATATTACGTTAGCGCTAATATTGTTTATAATAAAATCAAAATTTCAAATTTGGTTTTTGGAAAAGCCAAATTATTTGCTTCCAGCCACCAAGAAAGTCGCGATACTTTTCGGTCCGATGCGCCTTGCTTCCCTACGACTTCGTCAGTCAGCCAGAATTGCGTCTTATCGACGTCCCAGTGCATCTCCGGCCGCATCATCCACCACCAATTTATACGCAACTTATCCTTTCGTATGCCAGGCCAGTATCAATGCCGCGCCAACGCATTACGTAAAATCGGACACTACGGGTATAGTTGCAGGTGTTGCTGTAGTTGGCGCGTTGATTGGTGTGGGTAAGATGATTTGGAGTGCTTCGTCATCGTCATCTAGCGAAACAAAGTTGCCTGCGATTCAGGATATATCCCAGGCAGAAATTGCTCTATTCTTCACGGAGCTTTTGACTGGGGTTGACGATCTTTTCGTACGCATGTTTCAATAAATAAACGAATTATTATGTACTATATTGACTCTTTACTTTGTGGATTCTGATCACAGAAAGAACTACCAAAGATTGAAAGCGCCTTACGTAATTATCTAAAAGACAACAACCATGAGGTTAGCGACGCTGAGTTCCAGCAAGCGATACTGTCGCAGCTTTATCAAATGATGGAAGGTCTCGAGCAACAGGTTGTTGAAAAGCGCAAGTGGAGCCACAAAAGTCTTGAAATTGCGCTAGATAAGTATGCACAAGATGCTGAAATTCTTAAGCTACAGGAAGACCTCAATGCTCTCATGCGAACGTAAGTTCACCGCTTTTGGTCCGAGATCCTGGAGTACCAAAGACTTGTATGGAACTGACTATTGTTCCGGTTCCTGTGTAGTGTGTTTCCATCACCTGTAGAGGTCCCTGATGATCTGACTGCCGACAAGACGCTGGCTATTTTAAAAGAAATGGTGGCTGGCATGGAGAAGGCAATGGCTGACATGCTTGCTCACGCTCGTGCCGAAGGTATCACCGATGTGGAAAAGGCTATGGAGGAATTTCAAAGTTTATACTTAGAGCACGTTGAGTCGATGACACAGGCTCAAATGAAGGCTCATGGAATTTCGCAACAGGTATCCATGTTTGTTGTTCCAGTATAAATATTTATTTAATGCGGCGGCTCTGTTGGATAGGTTTTTGCGACGGCCTTGCAAAAGTATCACACTGAAGATGAGCAATTTCGGAAGCAGGTGGAGCAAATTTACACTCAGCAGGCAGAAGCGTAAGTTCTAACTTCTTTGAGGTTACCCTTATGGCTATATCTCTTACAAGCATTTTGTGTCTGTTTTCAGCTTTAGGAAAATGGGTGTACCTGTTGATACCCAGTAGTAAGCTTGTAGGCTAGATGAAGCGATAAAGTTACTGGGTCAGGAGCTGAATAGATGAACATCAACTATTTTGATACTATTTTGACATGGTCACCTTTATTCCAAAACTTCCCGCATCAAGTAACAATCTATATGAAAATATTCAGGGAGCGAATGTTCGAAAAAGAAGCACCAAAAGTTGGCGATCTTGTTGATATTGCTTAAACCACCCCGAAAGTTTCAACCGGAGATCGTTGCCCACCACACTAATGCCAGTCCCAAAGAGGAGAGCCAGAACGCACTCTCTAGAGGAAAATTACTTGCCACCGAGAATGCCAACCGTACGGCCACGACGACCAGTGGTCTTCGTGTGCTGGCCACGCACTTTAAGTCCCCACCAGTGACGCAGACCACGGTGAGCGTAGATTTTCTTAAGGCGCTCGTAATCCTCACGCCATTTGCCTTGTAGATTGTTCGCCACAATCTGCGAGTGCTTACCAGTCTTGAAATCCTTCTGTCTGTTAAGAAACCATACCGGAATCTTGAACTGCAGCGGGTTTTGAATGATAGCTACAACGCGCTCGATCTCGTCGTTAGTCAACTCACCAGCACGTTTAGAGACGTCTACTTCCGCTTTTTTGCAGACCATAACGGAAAAACGACGTCCCACACCCTGAATGGCAGTGAGGGCGATCCACACCTTACGGCGACCATCAATGTTGGTATTTAGGATACGCAGAATGTGTTGGAAGTCCGGGCTGATCACAAGCGACTGGAAAGTGTCAACATACGACAGCAAATAGTAGCGTTAGCAGTCTGAACCTTTAAGTGTTGCATAGCATTTGCTGATGTTGATCAAGGGAGGAGCTGGTAGGGATGTAAACGTGAATTTGGCCAGTCTGTCGTGCTGCTTGAAAACAAAGTCTGACGTTCGAACTAACCGTGTTGAATGTCTCATCTGGCTGATACTTTCGTTGACCACGCACCACGAATGTGCACATCAGCTGCCTCCCTTGATTAGCATGCAGATCACTTACCATGGTTTACAAATGCTTTTGCTTCTAGCAGTGGGAATAAAGCTAAGGCTTGTAGCTAACTTAAATTATCTATAGACTTGTAAATGACTGGTAGTCGGACTCTGCACATTATGACCTATCATTAACCCTACCAAGTTTCTTAAGTTTTGATTTCTACAATTTTATCTTACGAAGGATATATTAATTGACAGTGTGAGAGTACCGTATCTACTCGATTTCAAGTATCGAGTACAAAATCCCCCAATCTGCTAACAAAGATTTCGTGAACTGCTCGAGAATGACCGACTTTCGCCGTACCCATAACACCTTTGGGGATGCATTTCCGACCGCCGATCAGCTACATGGAGGATTTAACTTTGACAACTGCCGTCGCAATGAGCTTCTTTTGAGTCAGTCTGGTGGCAAGCAGAAGCTGAAAGCTACAAAAACCGGCACAACCATTGTTGGCGTCGTTTACAAGGCAAGCTGCAGCAATGTTGATTGTTTACTTCTATGATTACTCAGCATTATCTGGTATCGATTATTAAATTACAGAATGGAGTGGTCTTGGGTGCCGACACACGCTCGACTGGCGGCTCGATTGTCATGGACAAAAACTGTGAAAAGATCCACTATATTGCACCCAATATATACTGCTGCGGTGCTGGAACGGCCGCCGACACAGAAAATACGACGGCGCTAATCTCGTCGCAGCTCGAGCTACACCGTTTGGTGCGTTTTAGTCGGTGAACATACTCGTTTGTTTTCGTTAATGGTTAAAGTGATGAAAATGGCAGAATACGGATACACAGTCGCGCGTTGTTACAGCCATGACGTTGCTTAAAAAAATGCTTTTTCAGTATCAAGGACACATTTCGGCGGCGCTTGTTCTTGGAGGCGTCGACGTAACGGGCCCACATCTTTACACTATCTACCCCCACGGAAGGTGAGGGTACAAAGGATAAAACGGACTTGAACCAAAACACTAAAAGATGGTGCGGTATATTTGACAGTACGGACAAGCTTCCTTTCGTAACAATGGGATCAGGAAGTCTGGCCGCTATGTCGGTCTTTGAGCACGGTTATAAGGATGATATGACGGTACAGTCTGCGATAAATAAGTGCCATGTGCTAAATATTTAACAACGCTCGCGTATAATATACAGGAGGACGAAGCCAAGAGTCTTGTGCAAGAAGCTATTTTGGCGGGTATTTTCAACGATCTAGGTTCGGGCAGTAACGTCGACGTGACAACTATAAAAAAAGTAAGCGGCAAGGTAGAAGTGGTCAAGGAGATCAACTGCATTAAACCTAACGAAGTGTCAGAGCTGCGTTCTCAAATCAACCGAGACATTGTTACGCACATTCCCCGCGGTGCTACACGTACGTTCCTGAGGCTGCAACGAGGCTGTCGACATACTCATGCTAAATTGTTTTGATCTTGGTGTGTCAGTTGTCCTTAGCTCCAAGACAGAGCCTTTTCCTGCCGACATTGTTGTTGAGGAGGCTACGCCTATGGAGTTGTAGATGCATATCGTTACTTCCTTGAGATTTTTGAAAGTGCCCAAGATAATAATTGCGATGTAACTGCATCTGAGTTCTCTAAACTAAAGATCATGCGGTATCACTTTGGCTATTCTACTTGCCTATTTACCACATATGCCATAAATATGAAGAATCTTAAATGGAGTTGTTGGTATTACTCCTCGCGCATGTATGGCAGGATCCTATCGGCTGTTAAGTGCAGTTTCTCTACAACATCCGTAGGTATAGCAAATGTCGGATGAATCTGTCGAATCCCTTGATACTCTGGATGCCGTTTTTTTTCTCGTTCAAAATACCCAAGCATACAAAGTCCAGCGATACCAAAGAAAGTGTGGAATACATCTGCCACATTTCCAGGTCGGTCGGCAATACCTCCATCTTCGACATCTTGACACGCTAGAATGTAATTAATGAGTTTTTCTTTGCTAATCCAGTCAATTTTTCCTATCATGATAAGTGACGATATGTTCCACCAACTATAGCACACATCAGCCTGCTTCTCAGGTCGGCCATTCAGACCTCCTGAGTCACATTGCCGTTCACATAGCCACCACCCCAGTAGTTCTTCATCCACATATTCTTCTAAGGCGAATCCCAGCGATAGCGCACCTACAGCGGTAAAAATGTGGCCACCGTGCGATTCGCAGCCTGGAATGTTACCAAAACCACCGTCAAAGTTGCGGCACGTGCCGATATAGGCCATGGCACTCTCCACGTCCACGAGCTCCAGCTTGTCCAATATCTTCAATGCCAAAAGTGAACAGTATGTAAACTTGGTATCAATTTCTTTCCACTCGTCACCGGCAAAAGATCCGTTGGGCTGCTGCAATGACGCTACGTAGCTTGCGCACTCATGACGTTTGATCCGGTCTAGCGCGCCTAGCATAGCCAGCACTAGCAAAGCGTGTAACGTGTAGAGCAGATGGCGATCGTGGCCCACGTTACCAGAAAATCCTCCTTCTGGGTGCTCACACTGCAATACCCAGTCCACAATCTCGGCTGGTTCCATATCTGCCTCACGGTTTAGCAGTGCCATGGCCCCTACGCCCCAATACAGACCGCTCACGCGCATATGCTCCGTCATACAAGATTCGAAATCTTCTGTCTTGTTTTTGAGTCCTACAAGATACTTTACGTGCAACGCGAGGTTGAACGCCGGCGGCTGTAACTGAATTTCGTCTTTGGAGCTCATATGATTATGCTAAGAATCGTCTTCTTGTTAACATACAATAGACACAAACTCCGTTACTTTAAATTTAAATGTAAACTGACAGCAAATGAAAAGCGATCTCATGACAATGACTGGTAATACTGTGTCAGACTTTTTTAATGATTTCTTTTCCACTGCAGAAATGATCTCAGAAGCAGAAATTGCATGGTGCATTCATGCAGTTTTTTTGTCGTGATTGTAAGTAATCGTTTCTTTTCCTTGAGTTTCAATTGAAGACTACGTTGCTGCTGCATAGCTCTCTTCAAAGAAAGAACGGCTTCTTCAAGCAGCTCGATGTTAGAGCTGTTGAGCTGTTTTCGATCGTTTTCACTCCTCACAATATCTGTGCCAGTTTTGACACCCGAAGCCGCACTTGACGATAGAACAGTCACTATCTTGGGCATTGTTGGTTCATTATTTGCCCTTTGCATCATTTTAGGACCAAGAGTTTGGCTGAATTTATTTACTGAACAAGAAATTCCCAACGAGCTTAGACCCTGTAAAATACCCATAGAAGCAGAAAGTAAGTCACGCGACTGAAACACTCTGGCTCGAGCAGAAGGTGAAAGAGCCTGAAAGGCTGTGGCGAAAGTCCACGCAGCCTCAACTAACTTTTGTTGGCCGGTGGTGCGGCGTTCCATTTCCTCAATCAAACGCTGATTTAAGCCAACGAGATCCTTGAGGTCAGCACATTTTCTCTGCACTACCTTGAGCTGATTACTTTGCTTAGCATACTGAGCAATTCTGCAATCTGCAGCCACTTTCCAGCCGCCGACCTTCAATTTGATCTCAATCAAGTACTTTGTCAATTCATCACTTCCACAATCAAGTGAATACTTCGCTTGTTCACTAACTTCGCCCTCCAAAGTCTTGCGCGGTGATTCACATAGTGAACGGATCAGATGGATGCAACTAGCCAAAGCCGAAACCAAAGTTGGCGAAGCAGATGACCTTGTGTAATATCGAAATGCTTGAGCATGGGATCTCCACTTCGCTAAACACTGAGCTTGTATGCTTCGTAGAAGCTCTTTTGATAATCGTCGTGCCATAACAGTACTGAGGTTTTGCAGCTTGTCGAGTCGACGATTTGTCATCGTTGTTATCAGTTTGTGCCAGGTGAGCAGATGAATGGTTGTCGATTGCTTTAAATCTACAAATGGTTCATCATTGCTGACCATGGCAGTGTCGGTAGGCATTATTCTCTGGCTTATATCAAAAAATTGCGGCTCTTCTGATGAAATAACTGAATCTAACCACGTTGGCTGAGAATTCGAAAGTGCAAATACCGAGGAGCTGCTAAAATCCTCTTTGTGAATAACAATTTTTGGAGATGCTATATTGTCTCCATCATTTTCAGACCCACAAAAAGCTTTGCGCTCAGCTAGACATAATCGTAAAGCCTCTAATTGTTTCTCCGCTGCACTCATCTTCTTCAATGTCATCACAAGTCGTTCCGACAACTGATAGAAAACACGTTCTGTTCCTCGTTGACAAGTCATAAGCATCTCACTAAACACACGCTGTTGCAGCTCTGGACGAGCTTGCAACGTTTGCACTAGCTGAAGTAGTGTTCGCTTCTCGTTCTCAAGACTGCGGCGTTCTCGCTCCATTGATCGATGTCGCTCTGTCATCATTAAAATCTCGTTCTTTAGCGCGTTCTCTTGATCATACAGCTTTAAACACTTTGTTTCACACTCCAAACTAAGCATTTCAATCTTTTCCTTGAGCCCAGATTGCTCCTCATGTAGACTCTGCACCTGATTTTTCAATTTAAAATTGTCTTCATCAAGTGAATCGCATTTAGTTACCCACATCTCCAGTTCCGTCTTAGACTGATCGAGCTCATTGGATAAGTCTGTTGCACGCGCACGCTGCTCTTGTATTGTAGTCGTTAATTTGCTCTGTATAGCTTTCTGCCTCGTTAATTCTTGCTCATGTATCACGCACTTTTTGATAACGGTGTCGAGCTCATGCTGCATTCGCTTCACGTCCAAGCTGCGCGTAGTGTCAAACGCTAACTTCGCCTCCTTTGCGTCTGCCAGCGCTTGTCCTAACCGAGTGCACTCGAATTGTGTTGACACGTGTTCTACTTTCAATGCATCCAATGTCTCTCGCGTCTGTTTCAATTCATCAACTTGCGATACCGCCGTTTCTCTTTCTATCTGCTGCAAGCTTGCAAGGAGCTCCTTTCCCTGTTGAAGCTCTTCGAAGCCCTTTTCAAGGCGTTGGTTTTTACGCTTGCACTCATCAAGTGATCCAAGAAGTCTCTCAACTTCATTTGCTGATGTGCACTTCTCCTCCTTAATTGCGTCGAGGCGACGCTGTAAGTCACCTAACTCAATCCTCAAATCAGCAATAATCACACCCTTTTCCTGAAGCTCAGCGGTACGTGCCACGATTTCATGCTCCATCCCAGTCACCGTAGCGTAAACGTCGTTGAGCGCACCATCTCGCTCTTTAACGAGCGCCTCCCATTTTTGCGCAGCTTCGTACTGATCTTTTATTTGACACTGCAGCTTCGTTATTGATTGGAATGTACTGGAGTGTGTGACCTGCAGATCATTTAACTTTTGTACAGTCGCTAGCTTCTCGCTGACTTCAAAATCATACTTACTCTTGAGGTCATCAAACTTTTGCTTCACATAAGCCTTCTGCTCTTGCATGATATTAAGCTGTTCTTGAAGCATCTGAAGGCTACGCTCGGAAGTGCGTTGCTCCGAGTCGCTCAGATTTTGAAGATCATGCTTTTCTTGCGTCACTTTTATGATCGTTTGGCGTAATTCTTCTTGTTTTTGCTTCGCTAAAAGAAGAGCAGATGACAACGCAGAATTTTCCTGCTGCTGATGATTTCGCTCCTTCTCAGCTTGAAGCAACGAGTCTTCATCTCTCTCAGCTTGTGCACGTAGTTGTTTGCATTGTGACCGAAGCGCAAAAAGTGATGCTGAGTTTTTTCGACATTCACCACATCTTTCGCTATGCACTTGTGTTCTTGAAAAGTCAGAGCTAATGGCACTGCGAGATAGCAGTGTATCACTGCTACGAGTTAAATTCACTATTGCATGCAAGTTGTCACCTTCCCGCTGTGTAGTGTGCGAAGTAGTAGAGGCGCTCTGCAGTGTCTTTTCAAGCCGCTGAATGTAGTTGTGAAGGATGTTCAGGTTCTCAACTTGATGTGACGAAAGTTGAGATCGCAACACTTTGATCGCCTCACTATAATTTTCTTGGAAGAATGATTGTGTGGATGTGCTGCCATACGAGCTGCTGTCTCTAAGTCTTTCATTGTCTGCGCGCAGCCGGATAATTTCCTTTTTTTGATCATCAATTGTCTCCCACGCAAATTGCAACGAAGCCTCATTGTTTTCTGCCGAATCTAATTGCTGCTTCCTCTCTGGACTCTCGACATTTGATAACTCCTCGAGAAAATCGTTTCGTAGCATTATCTGCAATTCGTTTAATTGTTGTTCGTCACCCGCTGCAATGCAAACTTTGCTACGGACCTGGCGTCAGTCCATGAAATTGTAAGTAAATTAAAAAACGTCATAAATCAGTGTTTACCCACATACCACTTCCTCATCCTTTTGCAGATGACCATACAACTGACGCATGATTTCAACACACTCTACTTCATGCATAACCATGTTTTCTTTCTCTTCTATTCGCAGCTTCATCAAGCTTACCAATAATTCCTGAATAATTGCTTCAGCTACCAACTGACGTGGAGATTCCGAGCTCCAATCTTTGTCTTCCCGTCCATCAAGAGTCTATTAAGGAAAAAATGTAAATTAGCCCGTTTTCTCAACTTCGAAATGATAATTATTGACACTTTACGGAATGTTTCAGACGTCTCATCCACTGCTCACAGACGTCAATTATTACTTCAAACAGATTGTTGTTGCTGCTCTTTGAACGCCGGCGACTGAGACTCTGATTCCATTCGTTTGACGCAGCGATGCGAGTACTCATCATCTCTTTACGTTCGAGAAATGCAGCGATCTGCTGCAATAGTCGCAGTAAAATATCCCTGCCACGGTCTTCAGAAGATGATGATGAGCTTGAAGATTCGTAAGGATCCGATCCATCCTGGTTGTTCTGAACTCGTGATGACTGCAGCCGAACACCAGAGCGTGCCAATATTCTATCCATGGCTTCTCGCGACTTTCGTCTTCCGCTTGATCGTTTCGCACCTTTGCTGTAACCGATAAACAGCATCAACAGAAGAATGATTGTTAAACGTGTGAAAAACTGTACACGCACCCCAAAACTTTATAAGCTTTTTGAAAAACATATATAACCTCGGTACGATCCTCCTGCAGCCTTACTATAAGATTCAGGATAGCGTCCTTGAAAATCCCACTTTAATGAAAATCTCAATTTTTGATTATATGTACAGCTCTATTCACCCATTTTGAGTTTGTAAGGTCTCGCATCAAAGAAGACATGATGTTTGTTAATGTTTCTGGTAGTACTCAACAGGACACACGTTGACGTGAGTGTGAATTTCGGTGGCTTTGGTGAGAAATGTAATTTATCAGTTATATTACAACTGGTCACTTGACGGATAATTTATCTTTTAAAACCCAAGTGATTTAAAAAACACACAATTTGCAAACACCGCGCGCTGCGGGTTCATGGGCCGAAAAAAGGGAAAGAAGAAAGGTATAAATGCAACACGCATACTACTCATATGACATATACATGTAATTGTTCATTTATGACATGTAGATGCTGTTGCCTCGGATCTTCCGATTGTCAATGACACAGCTACTCTGACTAAAGCCCGCGAACTCCAGGAGCAGGAGCTGGAGGTCCTTGAGGCAATTTTTGACCGTGATCTCATCAATCATAGCCCTACACCGCTATACTCACATATCTTTACAATCCGTCTACTCTGTGAGGCAACACCGGGTTCAGCCACGACAGCTGAGGTGTTGCTGCACATCGACTTTCCAAAAGCCTATCCACTCAAGCAGCCGCCAAACATCACAGTGGAAGCCAAGCACGGATTATCCGACATTGAAACAATAAATTTACATAATAGTATGTCGGATTTTGCGCTAGAGAAGGTTGGAGATGCTGTAGTTTACGACCTCGTGGTCTTCGCGACCGATTTTATTCAAGACCATCTCAAAGACCAATCATCGTTTTTTGATCAGATGATGGCACGTCAACAAGATATTCAGTTGGAAGAAAAAATGGCTCAAGATGCTTTTTTGCAGCGCCAGGAGGAGCAGGCAATGGCCAAAAATGAAGAGATTTTGGCATTTATGGAAGCTGAAAGAAAAAAAAGAGAAGCGATCAAATCCAGACGAAGACGGAGAAAAAATCGATTGAGTATCAATGGTGAGTCGTCCGATAGTGAAAGGGAAATTCAAGAAAATGTGGAGATATTGCCAGATTTCAACGAACGACATACAGATACGATCATGACGAGAACGTCGTCGAGCTGTTCTGTTGCGGAATCAGATGTGTCGATACTGGACGCTGGACTTGCGCCAAAGCAGTATCGCTCGAGGTATCAAGGAGATTTTAAAGAGCTTGGACTTTTGGGCCGTGGGGGAGGTGGTGAGGTAGTAAAAGTGCAAAATCGATTAGACCGACAGCTTTATGCAATTAAAAAAGTAAAACTTGACCCAGATGATAAGACGATGAAGAAGAAAATTCTGCGAGAAGTTAAGACAATTTCACGGATGCAGCATCGACATATCGTTCGATATTTTCAAGCTTGGATCGAGGGCGAATATGGAACGTCAAGTGACGATGAAAATGATATTTGCCTTGTGGACAGTGATTCTAGCGATGACGATAGCAAGCAAAGCGATACTTCAATGAGAGGGGAAAAAAATGTTTTTCTTGAAACAAGCCTATCGTCGGATGAGCTGGGGTCAATGATCTCGTCAGATGAAGATGACTGGCTAGGCACATTAGGCCGCAGTGCAGGACTGCTGTCGACGTCAGCTCGCAGTTTTCATAGCAATGGTCTCTCGTTTCAGATTTCTTCTCATCAGTCTATGTCTAGCAAGTATCGAGATGATACTGAGTGGGAGGCGCTGGAAGAAGCCCCAGAGAACGACAAGGACAACTCCAGTGAGGCCAATGGTGAAATTCTCGCACCTGGAAAAATGCGCAAGCTCGAAAAATTGTACATTCAGATGGAATATTGCAAAGGAAATGCGCTTCGAGAAGTAATTGATAAAGAGGGTCTGTGGAAAAATCCAGACAAAATTTGGACACTATTCCGGCAGATACTGGAAGCGCTTGTGTATATTCATCGCCAAGGCATTATTCATCGCGATGTCAAACCACCGAACATTTTTCTTGACTCGGAAGGTATTGTCAAGTTGGGGGACTTTGGTCTTGCTGTTCGACCCCCCAAAATAATGGAAGATGAAAATCGCAACAGCGAATTAAACTCTTCGGGAGAAAATGCAACAAAGGATATTATGTCCGAGTCAGATGGCTCTTCAGCTGCTGAGCTATATAGGCGGTTAAAGGTGGAGCATTTGGAAAGCACTCAAGTGGGCAAACCAATTGGACAGACTGCCAATCTCATGACGACAATGTCGGCTGGTGTGGACGGAAATATTACTGCGGGCGTTGGGACAGCTTTTTACCGAGCACCAGAACAGGAACGAGAAGGTCAGCGATACAACCAGAAGGTGGACTTGTATTCGTTAGGAATTCTGTTTTTTGAAATGTGGTCGCCACCATTTACAACACTAATGGAACGCGCACTAGCGCTTACTGCCTTGAGGGAGCTGGAGCTTCCAGAAACTTTTCGAGCTCCCGACGATGTCAAAAAGATCATTTTGTGGCTTTGTGACCGTGATCCTTCCAAACGGCCAGATGCAAAGGAGCTGTTGGCAAGTTCCTTGCTGCCCGCAAAGATAGAAGTGGAAGGATCGTATCTTCGCGAGGCGCTAGACACTCTTGCCAACCCGCAGGGGAAGTTTTTCGGGCAATTGATTGGTGCGCTAATTTCCCAGGAGCCTCTTGTCCACGATGATTACACGTACGATCACCTTGAATCAGTCAAGATGCGAAACTATGAAGTGCAGTTGCGCACAAAAACCTATGTCTGCAGTGTGCTGCAAGTTCGTCTGTTGTTATGCTGTATTTTATTTATTCGCTAAAGCTAACTCACATGTTGATTGTTATACTTACAGAATATATTTCAGTGTCATGGAGCTGTGGAAATGTCAACACCACTGCTGATGCCCCGTCTATCGGCTCAGACGTTTCACGGTGTCAGCTTTAGCGCTTCACCGAGCGCATCAGTGGTCCTAGATAGTAATGGAGTGGCAGTTGCGTTACCCTTTGATCTGACCGAGAGACTTGCTCGCTTTGTTGCCCGGCACAACGTGTCACGACTGAAGAGCTACCAATTTGACCGAGTATTTCGGAAAAGCATCGGTGGTGGCCACCCCCGTGAATTTACCGAGTCGGATTTTGACATAATCTTGAATGAGAAAAGCCATTCTCCTGTTCTGGAGCTTGAAGGACTTGAAGTCGTGTCAAGCGTAATCAAAGCTTTGCCAAGCTCGCTTGGTTCATATTATCTACGTTTTAATGACGCTCGCATAACGCGCGGTATTCTTGATCTTTGCCGCGTTCCCGGCAGTGCGCGTCGCGAGGTATTGCATCTCCTATCCAACGAAATATCGTATAATGTACACGCTGGTCCGCCATCCAAACTAGCCCCAAGCTTAAAATCGAGTCATTATAAATTTTGTGCAAAGAGATTGAAGCATTTTGGTGCGTCAGCAAGCGTTATTGACGCATTAAAACCGTTCTTTATGTTACCAGAGGATTGTGCCACGTCGCTTGATACGATCCAACTGGAAGTGCAGAACCTATTTGCAAAGGATCGAGATCGTTTTGACTCGACCACAAATATTGATGGTGATCCTGGTGCTTTCTCTTCTGTCGACCAGAAGCAGGTTCAAAAGCGAGATTTACAATTACGACGTATGATTAAGGACGTTGGTGAAGGCCTGAAGTCTTTACGCTCTATACTACAGAGTATGCACTTCCTTCAGATGTCTGGACCGGTGTGCATACGGCTAGACTTGGGGTTGAGTCCGCGTCCTGAGCGATATACATCTGGATTCATATTCCAGGCGATTTTGCTAGATGAATCGTTGTGCGGTGAGCAGAGCGGTGATCAAACAGATTCACTGATAGTAGCGGCAAAAGATAACCAGAATATCATCGCAGAGGGTGGACGCTATGACGCTTTGGTCTCTCGCTTTCAGCTTACGACTGCTTACGTCAAAGGCTCGGCAGTAGCTGCAATGGGTGTGCGCTTTGCCGTTGACAAGATTGTATCTATACTCGTTGTACCCATGCGTCTCGCCTTGCTTGATACCAAATTTTCGGCATCAGACGTGCTCACAGGTGGTCGCAAGGTCCTAGTCTGCTCAACAGGCGATGCATCCGATACGATTATGTTTCGATTGCACATCGCGAGACTGTTGTGGGGTCATGGCATTGGCGTAGAGTATCTCCATCCCGAATTGGTGCATATAGAAGACTTGGAAGACTACTGCGCACAGCAAAATATGCTCTGGATGATCATTGTTCACAAGCACTTGATACAAGAGAAGCAACAGGTGAAGATTCGTGCGGTGAAAAGCCATTCAGAGGCTGACGTGATCATGAATGTGGTTGCGCTTCCGGAATACATCAGCGAGTTGCTTGTTAATGTGAACAGAAGCTATCATGGCGAGTCAACAACTGGAGTTGGACGTAATCACTTTGGAGACGGCAACAATTGCAACAATAGTAGTGGAAAATGTGTATCGACAGGTAACACGTTGCAGCCATTCTTTGATGTAAAGGTGGTTGATGCAAAGTACCAGTCGAGGGATCGAAATTACCGTAACTATCAACTTGACACACAAAAGGTCCAGCGCCGTGTATCCAAGTGGATCTCTTCTAGCTTTTCATCGCGCGGGGATGAAGCCATGAAGGTGCTTTCTATTGATTTGCCATTTGCTTTGGTACGTGAAATGTCTACAGCTTTAATGAGGTCTGGTAGCGATGCCATCGACAGTGTTTGTGCTAGCAACCCAAGGTTTCGAAAGCAGCTGAAGTATACGATGGAAGAGCTCATATCTCTCATTCCAGAGTCAAATTCACGCGGCGTCGGGCGTGAACGATACGTGCTGCTGCACAGTATGGTGGACGATCGATACGATATGATGTCACTTGCCCCACCATCCAAATGTAATAGTCGTAAGAGATAGCACTGAAAGATTTTGTAGGAATTCGGATCCAACATGTACAGAAAGACACAAATTGTTTATTCCAGGTATCCATCCATTTCTGCACTATTCATTGGCAGAATAACAACTTAATAGGAAAGAATGTACTGGCAGATTAAGTAACATGAGGCTGCAAAATGCCATTAAGAAAGTCTGCATCTTAAATAATAGGGGGTTGAAATCAGATAACAGCGAAGATGGTTACCAAACAATACAATACGTAAGAAAGGTGCGGCACAGCGTCTACCAAAACATTGCAGACGAAACAAGGAAGATCAATTTACATGTTCCGAGTAACAGTCGGTTGTCAAACGCGCTAGTATTTCGTATGGTGAATGCGTGTTGAGAGAACCTAAATTTGTTTATGAGAGGTTGGGCATGCGCATGTATCAGATAGCGGAATTTCTGTTTGAGTTTTATTGACGCGCATACCAGCAAGAAGCAGTACTCTTAAGAATAATATTATCATGTTTTTTGGTATGGGTTACTGTGCACTTTGCACACGAGAAGCTTTGATTTACGGAGTATGCTCTTGCAAAGGCACATAAGTTGAGTTCGTGCGCTCCGCCCAGGAGCGAAACCAAAATTAGTAGTATCTTGTTTGCTCTAATTTTTTATACCTGGCCCGATACCCAAAGGATCCGAATCAAGGACGCCGGAGATAGGTCACTAAAGTGGACGAGCAATCACACCCCTGTGGTGTGTCCGCCATGCCAACCCGCACCCAATTGGGAGTGTGATTATTGGGTTGGAGGTATAATGGTCCGGTCCCAAAATTGGTCGGATAGCGACCAGCATTCCGCGTTAGAATAAGCTTAATCCTAGCATGAGGGTTCCGGGTTCTTTAAATTCCGATTATGATATTTGACCATGATATGTTATTTTGGCACTTCGGTTTTTGTTTTAATGAACAACAATAGCAGTGCAGTACTACCTCCTTTGTCAACATTAAAGCTGTACTGGTGTCGCGATGATTTTGTCGTCTCAAACCAGCGCACACAAAATGAGATTCTCATGGACATGAAGTGTGCCAGGAGTATGTTACCTACTTTGCCACCTTTCATGAGCACACAACACTTTGAGAAGCCTCTCTCCATTCAACTCTCATGGCTCAGCCATCTCTGGAAGCGCCAAAACGCATTTGACTTGATATCTTAGCTGTTGATAACGTGACGAGCGTTTTGATGCAATAATATTGCCGCTGCGTCAATCTGATCGTCTGGTCGAATCAGATTGCTGTAGCATGTCTGGAAGCGTCAAAAACCATTTGACTTGATATATCAGCTGCAGCGGGGATGCCGTAGCTTTGCGCTTTGAGGAAGCGTAAGTTAGGTCACCGACCTCTCCTTCTATATTTGGAACAAGTACGAGTTTAGCGGATCGCAATCCGCTTACTCCAAGGGTAATTTTTGCCTTAACCCACGTCTAATTAACTCTTCCGTTGAGACCGACTTTATTTTTTATCTGCGGTAAAGCCGCCTAATTTTAAGTGTATAGATTTTCCTAAATATGTATAGTAAAATCTAAATACATGCATAACTACTGGCTATCCAGCCCCGTACCGTATTTTGTTTGGGTGTGGTCACACCATGACCATCTGGTGTGACACAAACACCTGTAACCAGGGTATGTGTAATCCCGTTACACGCGCCATGAAATTAATTGATTCAAATATTGCTTTACATGACAAATGACTACTTACAAGGGGACAATTTGGAGTCATGGACGCATTCTTTTGCTCAAAGGATAAAGTGTCGGTGTCAAGCGAGTCAACCTTCCCACTAGGCACCAACCTTGTGCACTAGAGAGGCTAAGCGGCGTAATGCATGATAATAATCGGCTAGATAAAGAAGGAAATGCTGCAGAATCGCATAGCGGTTAAACTCGATCAGTGCCTTTCTTCATAATCGCTTTTACTATCTACTAGCTATGAAAGACAGCAGTATCCCTCTCGCTATGACAAGGTTTCTCCTAACGATACACTCCGGCAGGATCTGGTTGCGCCTCTGTGAGTATTCTCGCCGGCGGTTTTTGACGCAGCTGTTAGGTCGCATATCGTGCTTATACAAAAGTCCAGTTCGACAAAATATTCGTCCATAAACGTGCAAAGCATAGTAATGATCAGATGTGGTCCGATGCATCAAACATTTTCAACCGGTACGTAGATGTATACACTGAAAAGGCTGTTTGTGAACATAGACACGTGTGTCGGAGGCGCAAACGAAATATGGTTCAATTCTGTTACACGGTCTGCATGCTAATTCCAACTAACCAGAACCATTGTTCTGGAATTACTTAAGGAGGTGGTTTGGTGCGGCCACCATTCTACTACAAACTAAACCATCTTCTTCAAAATGATGCTTAATGGTCATAACGGAGCCGAAGAGGAGGCTTTCAAAGCTGTACAAAGAATCATGTGTAACTTTATTCTGGCTATCCGAGTCCGGATTGACAAAATTATGCCGTCTGTGACGTGTAAGATTTTGCAAAAGCTGTTTTACACTTCAAGAAAATGCTGGTGAACATGAACGCGAGCTCATGTCTCGGTCTTGCCCACCGGCCTGGAGAAACAGAGTAGAAGTAACTGGCGCACGACAGACACCTAAGTGCAAAGAGAGACTACATTGTCAAGTTATGGGCACCTACTTGACTCTCATCAACATATGATCATACGATTATGCATCCTTGCGCTCAGCGACTTCGTCAACCCTCTATATAACAGAATATTAAGATGATTTTATATGTCTGACAAGTTACCCGCCGAGTTCGAATTCAAGATAGACAACTTCATGTTGTGGATTATGCTCTTTTGCATCTCCAAGACTATGAGTTGTTACATGTCACGAAAATGACTTCGTCAATTCAGCAGGTTTGACCAGCTTTTGCTGAATTCTCTTGTTGCTGTCAGCAAATCGTTAACAGTGAGGATACAATCAATCTCAACATTTTCGTCATTTGTCACTTATTACGGTGAAGGATCAAGGTTCCTGCTCTACATCGAAGTCTTGGCAAATTTTGATTAATGAGCTAAGCACCAAAATTAACATGCTGATTGTTGAGTCTCCACAGACAGGTGGTCTGTCAGAATCTCCGAACTATCGCGGTAGGACATGATACTTATCCAAGATGCCATTAATAGTCGACTTTTGAATGTAGTGCACGACTCTTTAGACTTCACTCATCCGTCTATGAATGGTTTTCACCTGCTCGACGAGTTCCGCCAGCGACTAAGCACCGTATTGTTCATATATAGAAGGTGGTAGCTTAGTTATAATGAACGTAATGCCTTACCTTCAGTTGTCTCGTACGAGTGGGATCGTGATATGACATTAGCTAGCCCGTGTAGAGTACAAGACGTATTTGCATTCTCTTCAGGATTATACGCGTGTGACTAACACCTATTTTGGCTACGACCTCGTACACACAAATGTCTTTTTGACACCACACAAATTGGCCCAGCTTTAGTTGGGAAGGGCTGTAGATTCAATTTGATTTTCTCAAAGCAACGTAAAATGCGGTATCGCATATTTTATTTCAATGAGTTCAAGCAAAATACACCGAGTGCGCGACGTCATGGGTAGATAGTCAAGATAGATAAGAGCGATACACCGATGGCACAGTCAAGCAAAATATACCTTAATATGTATTGGATAATTATTTTTTTTACAGTGCTGAGAATTGAAATGTCTGCGGTATATCAGACTAAGCCGCGTCCACGCTACATCGAGCGTTCATGATCAGAAGGCGCATCCAAACCTGGAAATGACCGCCATGTAATCTTATTGAAGAGAGCCGACTTGCTGCCATAGCTAATAAAAATTGAGGAAGCCAACCGCGAGAAAATTGCCTTCTTGTGAATCTGCTTGATGAGCGAGGTAGCCCACTTTCATGTGGAATATTGACAGGGCTAGTGAACACGAACCGAAGTCGAGTTTATCGACTACCACGTTCAGTCCTTTCTTCTTTTCGTTCCGCTCGTCTCTATAACGAAGCTGTCCTAATTGTCACAGTGAAGCTAGTCGCCTTTCTTGATTGCCTCTGTCTCTTCTGCAAAAATACAGAAGCTGAAAAGCGCACCAATGTCGGGCGTATCAAGGGTTAGACTTA